TTAATTTTGTCCAGTCGAGTTTGCTTCGGAACACGATATACCTTTGAAGCCTTGTAACATTTCATCCGATTGCTTTTTATTGCTTCAAGAGCTAAATTTAATTATTCCTGTGTATATTTTGGCTTGATGGCGGTACTCAAATTTCTTTTAAAATGAATTGAAACGTAATTAGAAACACACAGTACCCAACTGCGGCCTATAGAACGGAATTAGGCACAAAATTAAAAACTGAAGCCTATTTTCGTGCTACATGTTTTTATAAATATTAAGCAGGGAGTTCCCGAAATATTTGATGTAAACTGTTTTGTAACTAATTTAAATTCCACCAATGAAGAATCATCGCAAATAAAGTTTTGTTAATCCAATAACATAGCTTTAGAAAAAGTAAGCCTCTGAATTGTGCTTACTTTTTTTAAGCTCATTCCTGAAATTTCATACGCAAAAAATAAGCTTTTTCCTCAAAAAACGATAGGACTGAAATTGATCTTTAAACAATTTATTGAGCTTACTTTAAGCTAAGAATTTAAATATATATTAAAACTCAATTTTCAACCCCAATACAAAGTAAAACGAAATATACAGTGGGGAGTAAAAGTTGTTCCACGATCAACATTTTCATGTTTGAGCGCGCATAAAAAATAAACGAATGAAGTAAATGACAAAATTTTTTTGTTGCAAAACTGAGTACATGCCGTTTTTTTTTATTTTTGAATTATAACTATGCCATTGCCTCTGTTACTATTTTGCCATTTACGCCTAATTGTTACAAATAACCTAGATATTCAAAAAAAAAGTTTTTGTCATTTACTTCATTCGTTTACTTATTATACGCGCTCAAACATGAAAATGTTGATCGTGGAATCACTTTTGCTCCCCACTGTATGTTCCTAATTCCGTTTCATAGCATGTAGATCGGTATAGGTGAAATTTCAATGGACCAAATTCCGTTCTAACTTTGCGTTTAACATTTTTATGAGTTTATTATATAAAATTCATATTAAAACATATATTTCGGTAAAAAATGCTATAATGTACAAATATTTTAGTATATATATATATATGCACTTACCCAATTATAATATCAGTCTTAAACAATTTTTACACAACTCTTAGCACTTTTCACAACAACACTTGTTAATTATCATCACCGCGCTAGGCAACTGCTTCCAGCCAACTAACATTTCGTCGGCTTAACGTGCAAAGGTGCTAAGTGCCATTTTTGAATTATTAAATAAACCAAAAAAAAAACTGAATAAAAATTGAAGTTCAAAATTTTTTTTTATTTTTCTAACGCAGTTATGTCAACTGTGATATTTCATTTNAAAGTTGAATATATTTTTGACAATTTAAAATAACTGTCCTTTGAATTACCCATCATTCACTTCATTCAACCCATTATTGACTTATTTTGTTTATTTAAAAAACTTGTAAAAGAAATAGCACGGTTTTAGGCCGTAATTGGGCACACTTACGTTAAATGTTAACATTTTTAACAGTTCCCTATACTCAAATAGAGAATATTAAGATAAATAAATATATGTATTTTCGGCATATGTTGACATCGCATGTATGCCCAAGCCGAGAATATTGGAGAAAAATAAATTCTTTGACATTCCATTTTTAACAGCGAAAAATTTGTACAAAACACACCGCTCACACGTCAATATTGTGAGACAGAGAACACAAAAAAATGTCTTATGCTCTCTGTCCCACATACCCATTCGCATTGCTTCTTTAACTAATCGCTTGTATGTGCAATGTATGTATGTATGTATGCTTTTGCGTGAGAAAAGTGGTAACATAGCTGTTGTCGATTTACAATATTTGTCAATTCTAAAAAATTTTTACTTAGCTCGCAAAAATCAGGGTCGATATGTATGCAAGCTCATACAAAAACATACACATATACGCTAGCTTGTTGGCGAAGATGTTCGGGCAGCAAGGAAAGCGGTAACAATTGGCGATCGTTTGATAGTTTCTTTCGGCACAGCTTGGATTTTCTACCAACAACAAGCCATTGTTTGTCCGTGACAACGGAGATGCGAAAGATGCGTGCGGCACTTATTGTTATGAATGTATGTACATATCCCTTTCAGACCTAGGGATATTTTTCTTAATAATTTCGCATTAGACGTTGGAATACAATTTTTTTCTGGAAATATATGCAAAAATTAACCTGAAAAACGCTTCCAAAGTGTCCTTTTTTATAAACAGGACATCGCACATTTGTGGTATTTAGGTAAGCTGTAAAATATCCCTTCAAAAATAATACAGGATCATTCTTCAAATTTTTTATTTAACTCAAAAATTTTCTAATACTTCACTATTTTATAAAAATAATTTTAACTTTAATTGTTTGAATAAAAGAAAAGAAAGTTAGGTTACTAAGGAATAGAAAGCAATTGTATATACTTTAGTCAGTTACATATATGGTACTTTTCAAAACAGTCTTTATTTTTTGCCAGACCTTACATTTTTGGCATCTTCCTCTCGATCGACTTCCGCAATTATTGCGACAAACCCTCGGTGGATCATCTGAAATTGAAGGCCAGTGGTCATAGCGATCATAGCGTATGTCATCAGGTGCATCATGAGGTCGATATTTTGTTCCGTAAAAGTCTTCAGGCAATTTAAAGGGTTAGACATGATCAGGAGCTTCGAAGTAAGCTGCTAGTACAGTGCCAAGCTCCATTTTGAATGTTAGAAATGACTTGACTTTCGGCTTTGGTAGTCCGGAAATAGTGAAATAGGGAAATAGTGTTTCAGATTTCTATTCCACCTCTCAACTTCACCAACGGGATCCTTTCCACATTTACTTGAAGCAACTATAACCGCTTTTGTATCCTTCCAYTTCACAAGAGCTACGTTATTATTATTTATAAACTGGCATATATCACCTCGATTCATATCTTTATCCAGAGGGAATTTAACACATTTAGGTACCCTGTTTGGCATTATTGTACCTGTTGCAGGATAATCCATTTGGTAGAGCGATTCTACGAGTGGTATTATAGTAAAAATCCTATCGAAATATATTTGGCTGCCTTTCGGTAAGTTTTTTTATTAGTCGCATAACTATAGATGGCCCATGTCCAAGACTGCAGTCTTCAAATGTCCCTGCCCATTGGAAAACTTCAAAATCTCCTACAATGCCCGTAGAAGTTGTGCATACAAGATTTTTTTTTTGATCTGATTACTTGCCGAGCAGGGCATCTTCCAGTGAATGGTATCATTTGCTCGTCAATCGAGTAGTTTGTGATATCAGTTGCCAATTCATTGCAGCGCTCCCTAATCATGTCTAAGATGGGTTGAACTCTCCAAAATTTGTTAGTGGAATCTGGAACAGAAAAGTCAACAAAGTATATGTCTGACCGTAGTTGGAGAAATTTGTCTCGAGACATTAAATTCAATATGGCAGAAATTTTGCATTCATTTGACTATTGACATTCATATAGCAGGGTAGCCAAGGCAGCCCATTATGATTGCACACCTGTAAAATCGTTTTATATCGGCTGTTACATAACGCGCCTCTTGACCACGATTAGCCAAGACGTACTTTTTGGTAAATTTCACCACATTCTCATAGTGGTATTCCGGAAAATAATTATTTAAGTATTCTAAAGGCGTCTTCACCCTTATTTGATTTTGGCAACCATAACTTATAGGATATGTGTGTTCGGAAAAGGTGCATTTTTCCAAATTTCTCTCCTGGGGTGGGGTTTAGGTATAGCGTTCGATAACGGTTGTATGACCGCTGTGCCCGCGAAGTTTGATTGTTGAGCTTCTGGATCCCCTTCATCGTCATCTGTACTTTTATCGCTTTCTTCTCCACCAGCGTTTACGTTAAACRGAKTCCAAGTTTCATCTACATTGTCATCATCATCACTGAAGTCTATATCAGATTGATCTAAAATGTCTAGGACTGCTTCAACGTCATCGCTGTTGCCCAAATCGAAAAATCTTCCTACAAATTGGGAAGATAACACATTTGTGAGCATGCAACGAAACTGTACTCTGTGCCTGAATAACACAATTGTGATATCTGTATTTTACTGCCCTCCAATTAACAATAACTATCAGCAAATTAATTTAAATGAGCACAATCACTTGAGAAATTTTATGGTAACTTCAATCACTATCATAATTTTAGTACTATATGTTTAAAAAGAATAAAAACACTCACCACTTGGGCGCATGTCTAAGCTTGCTAAATTACTCTTTGAAACTAAAGCTTGTGATCCGCTATTTATCGTTCAACATTTTTTTTTTTTTTTTTTTTAGTTGTTTGCAGTTCTATTGAAAACAGTGCTCACTGTCACTGCTTGCAGGTCAACACATGAAAAATTAATTTTTTAGGTAGTTTACTGCAGTTAAAACCAGATCTCACCATTGTTATAGCTAGGACTGAAAGGGTTAAGTGTGTGGCTCGCATTTGCTTTCGTAAACATACAGACAAATGTGCCAAAGAAATAATATATGTATGTATATGCCATGGTGATGCTATTGCTACAAGTATGGGAATGATAACGAAAGAATGCGAATATGCATATTTCATGAAGGTCATCAATTTTCTTTGAAGAAATGAAGTTCATTTGGCACACCTTCACTTTGTAATAGTGGAAATAAATATAATTTGTTAGAAATAGTAATTTATGTAAAAAAATTAAAGAGAAATAAAATTAAAATTATTTTTACCTAATTTGCCCCGATTTCGTAAAAAAAAATTAAAATTTTAATAATTTTTGGAAAAAAATGGTTCATATAATATACAATACTTTATGTTCTCTGCTTTAAGTTATCTGCTGAGACTCCCACATCTCTGCGTCAACCTTCTCTATGCAGAGAACGTTCTCTGCTCTATGATAAACGATTTTACGTTCTCTGTTCGTATATGAAAAATTTTATTTCAGTGCGGCCAAGTTTTTCTTAGATACATAACTGCTTAGATATGGCAACTCAACAATTTAAACCATATGGTTTGTTTGTTTACAATACTCTAATTGAAAGTTAATGCAATCAAAAAACTAATTTTATCTAAACAAAATTTCCTACCAAATTACAATGAGTAAGGATACATCGAATACAAAAAGCATATTCAATACAAAATTAACCACGCAAGGAAGCACGCACAGTGCAAAAAGCAAACTGTTAAGATTTGAAGAAATTGTTATTCCGTCATCCACCGCGACAGCAAAGAATTGGAGCGCTTTGATTAGCAAAGCCCACATCACTACAAACTCTTCCCTTAATAAACCACGACAAACAAACAAGGAATATATGACAACACAAAAAGTATATGATGTACTCAAAGAACCTGAAGATTACAAACCAGTAAAAAGTGCACTTTCTCTAAAAACAATTAATATGAAATATACAGCAGTGCCAACGGTTGGGAATAAAATGGTTCATATTTCTTATCCACAGTTCATAAATGCAACGTTAAAAGAGCAGCTTACAACGACTAGGAAAGACGCGGCGTTTCGTCTTGAACCTACAGTAACGGGTAAAATTCCTACTAAAGATGCATTACCTGCTGCTGCCACAACTGTTTCAGTTGATGATACCACAGCAACAACTAGCACTACTATTCCAACAATTATGAGACCAACTGCAGTTGTTTCTACTGCAAACCCAACACAGTTGACCGAATCTTTGAAAAATTCTGAAATTGACGTTGGTGCCTCACAGCAACCAAAAGCAATAGCAACGACGACAGAAAGTCGGGTCTACGAAAACCGGAACGGATCCGGATTTTTATCCGCCCAAGGACTGTCAACTCGGCAGAATTCTGCCGTTACAACAACAACAACGACAGAAATTGAAAAAATTATAACCGTTACAACAAAGGCAGAGACAGAAATTAAAAGTTTCAATTCCAATACGACTTCAACATCTAGTTTGGAAATATCAGCAGTAGACATAAACGGGAAAGTTGCTACTAATACCGCACCAATTACAGTTCCGTCGGCCAGCACAACTAAATCAATAGACTGTAATCATATTACACAAAAATTAACATTCAACAAAAAGTCGGTCATGCGTTCAGTAAATATTCCACTTTCGATTGCTTCGAAGGCACACAAAACTCTAGCTTTTATGGGACCTAAAATGCCAATTCGTCCTTTGATCAAATCCCGTAATTGCGTTTTACTTTCGACAAAATCAAATACAACTGCTAAAGATAAGGGCATAATTAAATTTATTCCGAAGAGCCCTTGGCCTAAGAAATATGTAGCCGACGAGTACGACGAAATGAACCCAACCGATTCAAATAGTAATGACGCTCTTATTAGCAAGGATGCAGAAAAGTTGCTTGAGGCTGGGAAAGAAGTTTTGGTTATAACAACGGACATCGATACCAAAAAAACTGCTGTTAATATACCAGTAGTGCCATTGGTAGGGAAACGAAAATATACTGATCCAGCCATGATGCCGATACTATCCTTTTCATATCAGAAATCGCTTTCGGATTATATACGAAAAGCAAAGGAATTTCACAAACGCGCCAAAATATGTGCAACAGCAGCTTTAGCAACTATGGATAATTCGAAAATGAATGAGGTAGAGAGTGCGAAAAATTTTATTTCAACGGATTCAGATGGAAGCTGTAACAAGGATAATACGAATATGAAATGTGATCATGAATCTAATCTTAAACAAGGTGATAGCACTGCAGAACGACGAAAAGAGGTAACGACAATGGAAGTTGAACAGACGGCTAATAGCGAATCTGAAAACAAGGAAAAAAGTACAGATATGGAAATAACAGAGAAGATAGGTAGCATGAAATATGTGAAATCAGCAACTAAAGTTATGGAAACAGTTGAAAAGTTGGAAAACACGAGAACTACAAGCCTGGATAACCTAAAATATCTGAAAACATTAACTGATATGAATTTTGTGGAAAGCCCAAAAAATTCAGAAGATAATGAAGCAGGTGAAAACTCGGACGACTTGAAAAAAGAAGAGTCAGCCAATGGCACAAAAAAAACAGAAGATATCGAATCAACGGAACGCAGAAATAACTCAAGAGAAGAGGAAACAGCGAAAGGAATCAAAAACCTAAATAACATAGATTCGGCTGAAAGCAGAAAACAACTAAAAGATTTGAAATCAGGTGAGGGCACAGATGACCTGAAAGATATGGAGTCAGTCAATGGCATAAAAGTAAGAGAAGATATCGAATCAACGGAACACACAACTAACTCAAGAGAAAAGGAAACAGCGGAAGGAATCAAAAACCTAAAGGATATCGAATCATCTGAAAACAAAGATCAGCCAAACGATTTGCAATCAACGGGAGATGTAGAGAACTTAAAGGATATGAAATCAACTGAAAGTGCAAATAATCTAAAATATGAGAAATCAGCCGAAAGGACGGAAAAGTTGAAGGACATCGATACAAAAATCCTAAAAGATGTGGAATCTACCGAAAATGCACAAATCCTGAAGAACATGGAATCAACAGAAAACAGAGAAACCCCAAAAGGTTTGAAAGATAACTTAAAAGTTAAGGAATCAGCTGAAGGTACAGATAGCCTAAAAGAAGTTGAATCAGCCGATAGGACACAAAAACGAAAGAATGCGGAATCAACTGGAGATATAGATAACCCAGTAAAAGTGAAATCAACACGAGTCACGGTAAACGTCGAGGCAGCTGAAGGCACAGATAGATTAAAAGATTTGGAATCATCGGAAAATATAAAAATCTTACAGAAATCATCTCAAAAGACAAAAAATCGAAGCGATTTTGAATCAACTGAAAGCATACATGGTATGCAAGGTTTGGAATCAACTGAACGTACCAAAACCCTAAAGGTTATGAAATCAACTGAAGGCACAGTTAACCTGAAAGGTGTGGAATCAATCGAAAGGACCACAAATCTGAAGGATATCAAATCAGCTGAGGATTCAAATAACGTAAAAAATATTGAATCTGCCGAAGTGAAAGAAATCCCACAGGATATGGAAACTACGGAATGTGTAGATAATCGAAAAAATATTACCTCAACAGCCGAACTGAGTAACCAAATAGATATCGAATCCGATTTATTTACCTATGAAATATTCAATAATGTCAGTGGTATTAATAATGCAAGTACACGTAATGAGCATACCCAAACAAAAGATAGCACAATTAAGATTCTCAAAAATATTTTTGAATTAAAAGAAAAAGTTCAACAACAAGCGGAAGAAATTATGTCGCTGAAAGCTGCAATGAAATTGTTAAAGGCACCAAATATGTTGAATAGACTTTAATTAAAACGTTAATTTTATGTGATTACTACTAATGTTTAAATATAAATTTGAAATATTTTTTTTCAAATTAAAAATAATATTGTTAAAAGCAATTTACTACTTGTCTGGTATCAATCAATTACGATTTTCGGGATTTTAACAATTTAATAAAAATAACTTAATTGTCTTTAATTATATACATATATATGTGTAAAAATGCGTATTAGACAGAGGCAGTATTTCCGCTCAACTGTGACCTAGATGAAATATAGTCAAGGTATACGTATATGTTTTAGTCTAAATAAACAATCACAACACGCGAATATTACTTTTGCATTAAGCAAAAAGAAATGTATAATTCAATTTCGTTTCCCTAATAATTGTAACGAATAAGGTTATATAAAAAGATTTTACATTCGATACAACTGCCTACATTTCTACCCATTTTTCGATTGCTCAATGTATGAATTTCACTACCACTCTAAATTCAATAGATAGATAGATAAATAATTGAGGAATGTACTGCGACCTTAGGTCTATTGTGCCCTCTCCTAACTCACAGGGACTCGCTTAGCCCCAGCATATTGATGAAGTCCAGTATTCTGCTGRGTGCTAGCGAGGCGATGTGATCCCTATCCGGAAACATGGCTCCAAGGGCCTTCGACCTGCGCCTACAGACTGCTATGCAGTCGATTAACAGGTGCTCCGGGGTTTCAGGGTCCCTGTCGCAAAACCGACAATTGGCGCAAGATGATAGGCCCATGTTAGCTAAATGCCTTTTCAGCTTGCAGTGGCCGGCGTAAAATGCGACCAGGATCCTGAGTTTGTTTCTTGGGAGATTTATTAACGATTTGAACCTCTTCTGGTTGTACCCCCCAACTAGCAGCTTGGCATGACGCATACCGTGCGCTCGCTGCCAATACCTTTCCCTGCACACTCTTTCCTTCTTGCGGAGCAGCTCCTTCACAGAATGGGGACCCACCCCAGTAAACGGTTCGGGCCCAAACATATTGGTGGAGGCTGCGGAGCGGGCTAGCTCGTCAGCCAGTCCGTTGCCGGCTATACCCCTGTGACCGGGCACCCAGATTAGGTGCCCCTGGTTCTTTCCAGCTAGGTTGTTCAGCCGTTCTCTGCACTCCTGCACCAATAGCGATTTGATCTCGGAAGAGGAGGTAAATTCACTAACAAGCACTGTTGATAAGAATGTAATTACCCTTACTTTCATATTACACCGGCCGGATATTCCAACACAATTAAATTTTCAAATGTTGCCCTCGATACATGCCAGTGGTGGGAGAAAAGATATCACAAATTCGATTCAAAATATATCGATAGTAACTGAAACTGGCATCACCGTTCATTACAAACAGCTGTTCATTATAAGTAAACCTATCCAATTGTGTAGCGCGGTAAAAACATACTTAATTCTTTTAATTAAACTATCTACTATCTTAAAAATTAAGTCTGCATCTGAAAATGTTTGATTAAAATACGAACAAATTAAAGCAGTGTAAAAAATGTATTTTGGAAATGTTATTATTTGAATTTGGTGCTAAGCGCCTAGGTTGCAGCAACTGAATATCAAAATTGGTAAACAACTCGTATTTTTTATATAAACGTATATATTTTAATGCAATTGTGTTCAGAATTATAAACTATGCCGTTTCGTCGCTGTTTTGCTCATTGTCCTCATGGTAGCGCTATCCTGTATCCATTTCCACCAAAAACTGATGTAGCCAGGTGAGTGTTCAATCTAATATTGCTATAACTTTATGTGAATGGAATTCTTCTCTTACGATTACCAATGTGCCTTACGATTTTTAACGTAACTATTTTCACATTGTTACAGGCGGGATCTCTGGATACGGCAATTTGGTAAAAATCCAGACCAGTTCAAACAGAAACATCTGTACGCATGCCGGAAACATTTCAGCTCGTATATGACGTATGGTAAACTACTGCGAAAAAACGGCTATCCCGATGTAAATTTGTCTACATACGACAAAGATAAGCCCTACACACAAAGATACAGTTATTACAAACCTGGTGCAAAACCCGATCCGTTTTGGCATGACAATCTCGATGATGTAGTGGCTATGCCACCGTTAGATTATGGCTTGGATCTAGAATACGTACCCGTTGAATGTATTGTACCACTTTCCAATGAACTCTCTCAAACCGAGGACAGCAACAGCAGCGATGATGAGGATATTCAACTAAAAAAGAAATCAAATTATGTGGATCGTAAACGAAAGTGCATACTAGGATGTGGCGGTAAGCGTTCACTACATATTTTGCCATCTATCCACAACGAATTGGAAAGACGGCAAAAATGGCTATACCTGTTGGGCAAAGATCCAGCATTGTACACACAGAGACACGTTTATGTTTGTGATCTACACTTCGATATACATATGGTTGGGAAATCGCATTTAATACGTGGGGCATATCCGAATAAAAACTTGCCAGCACCGCTAATAAAGTCAATACCGGAAGGATTGGAAGCGCAAACAGAGTGCCTACAAAAGTGTTCAGACTATAAGAGAAAGTTCAAATTTCCAACGTTCGATCGTAAAAGGTATTGCAATTAATTGTGTAATGCTTTTGCTATTTGTGTTCAACCAGGAAATTAAAAAAAAAAAATTAGAAAAGAAAATGTAAAATCATCTATTTTTAGGCGCGAAACGTGGTTGTTGAAATTTGGCCGTAATCCTGCGTTCTACACGAATGACATCTACGCATGCGATCGTCATTTTAGTGATGAAATGAGAGTTGGCCCCTACTTACATTCGCACGCCGTACCAGATCAAAATTTGGCACTCAAACTACTGCACGAAGATAATACTGGTAATTATGCAATTAAAACTTGGTCGCTAGAAAGACTACAAGCTTTAGCAAATGCTACGACGACATCATTAACTGTTACAACGACAACTACAACGCAATCAACAACTGCACAGATTTCGCCAGCTATTACAACAATTCCTACAACAACTACAGTGATATCGCCAACCGATACCATAACTGATTCAACAACTAAAACAGTTTCACCAACTGTTACAACAACTACAACAATTTCACCAACTATTACGACAACTACAATGATTTCGCCAACTGGAACAACAATTGATTCACCACAAACACCAACAATTGATGAATCAGCACAAAGTAAGAACATTCTTGACCAACTAAAAATTACCGTTATGTCTACTGCTAATCAAACGTCACAAACACCAGGGGAATATATAAAAATGAAAACATTAGGTGTATTCATGCAACATAGAGATGGTTATGTGGTGCCTTTAAGACAAATTTTAAATGCAGTTGATCCTTTGGATTGCAGAGGATATCTGCTAACGGAATGTGCTAAATCGATTGAACCCAAAATAACTATAAAGGTACATCCAATACCAAAAGAGATCTATGAAGGCATTAGTGAGGATGATTCTAGCATGCCAGCAAGTCCCACGTATAAGGACGATATGGTTGAAGAGAGTGACGATACGAAAAATTTGAAATTTACACATGCGTATGATGAACAAAATAGCGCGGATTCATGGAGGCATGAAGACAACAATGATTACAGCAACAGTTTAGAAAATGCACAAATATACAACATTAAGCGAAATAATTATGA